CCCCCCCCCCCCCCCCCCCCCTCCAATTTTCTTCTCAAGGAAAGAACTGAAAATTGTAATAAGTTTTCTTTGACCTTTCAACTTACATAATTTTAAAACTCGGGCTTTGATAGTGAGGTGGAATTGCATTAGTGGCTGTTGGCATGGCATCTTTTGGATTTTGTGTATATGTGTATATGAGTTTCCCCATTTTAGTCACATTTATCGGAGAAATAAATGTGCCTTTAGATGCTCGTTGATTGAAAAATGGGTTAGTTGTTCAAATGGTGGAACATCTTTCAAGCAGTCTGATATAATCAATTGGGTCTGGAAGTAAGTTGCATATACATTTTCATGTACAATACTCTGAAGAACATCAAAGATCATTGAATTCTTAAAGAAGGTCACCACATCCCTATTTCATACCGTTCAAAACAAACTAAAAAAAAAACAACAAATAAACAAAATTTAGATGCTGCAAGAGAAGGAACAGGGTACGAGGATTTATGAACTCTTTGCTTCATGTACTTGTTATTTTGTGTGTTAACATAGAGAATCTTAACTTCATACTCCTTTCACCTAAGAGATATGCAACTTCAGGGAGCACTAATCTCAATTTCTGTAACCTGAAATAAGTTTTTATCTCCATGGGCTTTATTGAACTTCTTTAGTTGGATTTTGCGGAATATTATTAAGCTAATGTTATGAAATCTTGATGGGACTTTCGAATCCATAGCACAAGGTTCATCGACTTGCGGTTATATCACTTTAGCCTTTTGGTTCTGAGTTCATATCCATATCATATTATTCTTATGGTTCTCTAGGTCCGGTATACAGTAAAACAGTCATTTGACTTCACATTATATATCCTTTTGGTTCTGTAGGTTGTGCCTAATACACGTAGCAGAAGTCAGATGGGTGAAACCACTGACGGTGGGTTATATGAGATTTTTCAACAAGACTTTGGGCCTGTTGGTTCTCCCAGCTTTGAAGCTGCCCGTGAGAAATTCCTTATTAGTAGTGCTGGTTATGCAGTTGCCAGCCTATTGCTTCAACCGAAGGATAGACATAATGGGAATCTATTGTTTGACAAGTAAGTAATTTACTCGTGCCTTAGCTAATAGATCCATAAGTCGGACCAATTTTGATAAATTTGAAATATTCAAATCCACAGTTTGTTTGGGTCATTTGGGTGCTGGGCTTTAGTTCTATTCGGTCTAGAAACCACTGACGGTGGGTTATATGAGATTTTTCAACAAGACTTTGGGCCTGTTGGTTCTCCCAGCTTTGAAGCTGCCCGTGAGAAATTCCTTATTAGTAGTGCTGGTTATGCAGTTGCCAGCCTATTGCTTCAACCGAAGGATAGACATAATGGGAATCTATTGTTTGACAAGTAAGTAATTTACTCGTGCCTTAGCTAATAGATCCATAAGTCGGACCAATTTTGATAAATTTGAAATATTCAAATCCACAGTTTGTTTGGGTCATTTGGGTGCTGGGCTTTAGTTCTATTCGGTCTAATAACATGCATGATTTTCATAGGCTTGTGCCATTTGAGGGAGGTGAACAAAATGCTTCATTATCTTGAGATGATGAGCCGGGCTTTAGTACTGCCCACCATTACAACTCTTTAACTACCTGTTCAATTGTTTTCCTGCCACCATCATCTGTTATTCATATACTGTAATTATTTAGAATAATATATTTTATTACCTTGATCCATTTGAGGAATCTGATACTGTTACACAAACCTCTCCGCTTAACTACAATCTAAATTCTGTCGAAATTTGCTCTGCTCTCCGCTGGAGAAATTGCTTGGTGAATGATTATTGGATTAACATCTTGAATACATCATTGAAGGACTGATATTATACGTACTATTCATGATCCAGTATTTATTCAAATTTGAGTACTGGAGCATCGAAGATCGTCATTGGACCTTCAATTTATAACTTGGGCATGCTAAACATTATGCCCTATTTGGTAGAGATTCTTTAAAACTCGTTTTTCCCCATACTCATTTTCGACCACATATTCTCTCAATTAAATAATTTTGCACGTGGTGTCATAAATTTTCCTACTTTTTAACTGCACATTTACCAAGAAAATGACTTTTCACAAAAAAATTTCTCAAAAAATCTACATCAAATGGGCCCTTTATTGTCGAACTGTATTTTTGTATAAAATTTATTCGAGTCATCTCATATTTGAATGCACAGAACTATGCAGAGTTTAATCAGTCATTTTTGATTTTTTTTAATTTTTTGTCAATTGCAGTGAAGGTAGGCTTGTTCATATTGATTTTGGTTTTATCCTGGAAACTTCACCGGGTGGAAATATGCGATTCGAAAGTGCCCACTTCAAACTGAGTCACGAGATGACTCAATTACTTGATCCATCTGGAGTGATGAAAAGCGACACTTGGTATCTATTTGTAAGGTGAGTTTTAAAGGTTTCTGACCTAGCAATATACTATTTGTTAGCTCATGGAAGATTCAGCTTGAATAGTCTTTATAATATTATCGTTTTCTGTTTCCAATTTCATAATTTGTTGGACTGTACGGAGAAGAACGGATCAACTTAATATTCCTACTAAATGATGTTATTTTGTGGTGGTTTTTGTGCGAGAGATGTGGATAATTTTTTTCTTCTCCTCCATTATAGTGAATCTGAATTGGACATAGCTCTTACATTCTGAGTAAAACTGTAAATCATTGTGTCTTACTATTTTTCTTATTTTTGTTTTTCCCTTATTCGCAGCTTGTGTGTGAAGGGTTACCTTGCTGCTCGTCGCCATATGAATGGGATCATCAATACAGTCCGATTAATGATAGACAGTGGATTGCCTTGCTTCAGCAGGGGTGATCCTATTGGAAATCTTCGCAAAAGATTTCATCCTGAGATGAGCGAGCGTGAGGCTGCTAATTTCATGATCCGCATATGCACGGATGCCTATAATAAATGGACGACTGCGGGTTATGATTTGATTCAATATTTGCAGCAAGGCATCGAAAAATGAGGAACCGTGTTAATGGTTGGCATTGGATGTATGTTTTGACACGTTGCTTTTCAATTATTTCTGCTTGTATACCACAGTTGCAATAGTTAACCCCCTCCCACCCTGCTGCTCCGCCCTGCCTCGCCTCTGCAAAACTCGGAAAAAAAAAAAAAAGGAATTTGAAAAAAAGAGAGAAGTATCATAGAGTTGCAATGATTTTGTAGTGTTTAACTGAGAAATATCGAAGAAATATCGAAACGTCGTATTTGTTTGTGTGATGATATCCCATTTGGTGTTTGTATAGGTTGTAACTCATTTATTTAATCAATGAAGATTTGAAGCTTCCTGTAATGAAATATGATCGGTTAATGTTCATTTTTATTTTATTTATTTATTTATTTATTCTGAATTTTCTGCAAACATCCCCCAAGTCACTCTGATTTTCTTGTGCTTGGCAGAACATGGAAGGCTGGGTGAACTTCTTTCGAATCCCTGTTCGACTCTCGTTGTTTGCAACTTGTACGTGGTTGGAACTCCTTTCATTTGATTGTTTTTGATGAACATGACATTCTTTTCCTCTCATAGTTGTGCTAGAATTTTCGAGATTGTCTATCAATGCTGACAGAATTTGTGAAGCCTGAAACCAGCAAGAGTGGAGATTGATCGAACGAATTGAAAATATTCATGTGTTAGATTTCAATTTTTTAAGAATAAGAGTTATTTAGTTGTTTTTGTGCAATTTAGGACTCTTAAACAGCATACATACGACTTCTGAAAACTACTGCGTCCTTAACTCGGACTCGATATTGTTCAAAAAAGAGTTACCTCCAGAGTTTCCCTCAAGAAGTTGAGCAGTTTGATGGTTTATATTCAATGCTTCATTGAAATGGTAAATTAAGAATAATTCTATTCATCATTCCCAGATTCATTGTCCATTGCCACTATAATCGATAATAATCGACACTAATGATGAATAACATTATTTTGCAAGTTTATGTTGACGTCGTGTGAACTTCATCGCTTTTCGGTTAAATATTCTGTGCTATAATGAGATCCCATTACTTTGGTTTGTCTCCAGCCAAGGTATGTGCTGCTGAATTGGTTATTAGTATCAAACTTATTCCAAAGTTCTTTCCAGAAATGGCTAAGAAATATCGACCATGGAGTTTGACAAGCTTAGGGTGGCAAAGATTTAGAAGATTTCTAGATCCCACAGAAAACGAAGCCCTATTCATATGTCTGAGGGAATACTCCAGAAGATATTGTAGGGATTAACCAAACATCGTTATACATTATATGAGCCTGTTTGGTGCTGATTTTGAATATCAATTTTTTGACCGTTAGCTTGAAATATGGGTTTCACTTGTGAGTGAAGAGATAAAAAAAGACGGTTGACCATATTAAGTAACGGTAAAAAAATTGATTTTTGGCTTGACAAATCAGCACCAAACAGGACATAATCTAAGTGTTCTGAGTGAATTGAAACCAGTAAAACAGAAATAGAGATTTTGCATTGAAAAGGCAAGAAGCATTAAAAATGAAATTCGTAAATTGTTAGAAGCAAACTTTATCCGGGAAGTCACTTATCCCAAGTGGCTTGCAAATGTCTTACTTGTTAAGAAAGACGATGGAAAGTGAGAATGTGCTTTGATTACAGGGACATTAATCGAACTTGCTCAAAAGATAGTTATCCTTTTTCGAGAATAAATGCACTAGTAGGCGCAACCTCAAGAAATTGGCATTCGAGTTTCTTAGACACATTTTGAGGCGCCACTATATAAGCATGGTCGTTGAGGACCGGGAAAAAACCACGTTCGTAATGGATTATGGGACATTTTGTTTTTAGACCGCACTCTTCGGATTGAAAAATGTTGGGGCAACATATGAGAGAATGAACGTTAAGTTTTTAAGGGATTAATAGGATGAAATATTGAAGCCTATGTAGCTAACATGTTAGCTAAAAGTATCCAAAAGACCATCTAAATGGCACTAATTTAACTTGAACCTTTTCTTAATATCAATTATGTAACTTAATTCGATTTCATTCTACTGGGTTACCATACTTTAATTTGATTTCAATTTGATAATAACTTTCAATTTCATTACTTGGACTCACAGAAATCGATAACATTACACTAAAAAAAATGATGGCCATTATTTGTTTTGCTAAAATTGTATTCATTTCTTAACGTTTACGTGTGATGACCATCACGTATTGACGGTTACGTCATTAATTTTTGTTGATGGAATTGGACAAAGTTATCATAATTAAAATCAAATAAAAGCATAGTTGTTTGATTGAAATCAAATTAGTTAAAAAATATCACTAAACTCTGTATTTTTGGAAAAGTTTTCTCGGTACAATAGCTCCTCCTTTTCTCCTCTATTTATTCACAGAATTGTAATACATACATTTTACATACACACAGAATATTCCAGATTTTCCTATTAGCTGATAACACGTGTCTAACTACCTATATACACATCCCTTGAATTGGGGAAATACACTGCAATATACTGTTAAAGGTATTAACAGTATTAACAGCTTACATAGTGGAAATATTCAGCTTTTTCGATCAATCCTAACACCCCCTCTCAAGATGGAGTGTGTCTTAACCACTCCAAGCTTGTCCCTAAAGAATATGAATCTTGAATGAGAAAGAGGTTTTGTTAAAATATCTGCAATTTGATCTGAGGATGGGATAAACTGCACTTCCAGTTCCTTCTTCAAAACTTTGTCTCTCACAAAGTGGACATCCAATTCTATGTGTTTGGTACGAGCATGATATACTGGATTTGATGCTAGTGCACTAGCACCCAAGTTGTCACACCAAATTTTAGGGATTGCGTTGTGTGGTATAATTAGCTCTTTCATTAGGGATTGAATCCAAGCTATTTTTGATGCACCTTGAACCAACGCTCTATACTCCGCCTCTGTGCTAGACCTTGCAACAACATGCTGTTTCTTAGAACACCAAGAAACCAAACTATCTCTATCTAGTTTATCAATAAACATCTGCAACTGTTGACCATTGTTTCCTGTTATTTCTATATCATCTACATAAACCAATGCAAATATGATATTGTCTTCATTCATTGAGAAAAGAAAAGAATTATCTGCCTTGGATTGTCTGAAGTTCCACTCAAACAAAGTCTCCTTCAACTTATCATGCTAAGCTCTTGGTGCTTGTCGAAGCCCATAAAGTGCCTTTTCCAATTTGCATTCAAAATCATGATTTTTCTGATCCTCAAAACCTTGTGGTTGCTTCATGTACACAGTTTCTTCTAACTTACCATTTAGAAAGGCATTATTTACATCAACTTGCCTGATTTGCTAGTCTCTTGACACAGCAAGAGTTAATATAATTTTCAGTGTTGATGCCTTGATAACTGGACTAAAGGTTTCACTAAAGTCCACTCCAGGTGTTTGTAGAAAACCTTTTGCAACTAGCCTTGCTTTATACCTCTTTACCTTGCCTTCTGAGTCATATTTCAGTTTATAAACACATTTGTTTCCAATTATTTTCATTTCTGATTTTGGTGGCACCAATTTCCATGTGCTATTCTTCATCAAGGCATCATACTCTTCTTGCATAGCTCTTCTCCATTTATTACTTAATAGAGCTTCATCAGTATTCTGTGGCTCAACTTCAACCTCATCAGTATTTTGTGGCTCAACTTCAACCATCTTGTCCTGAATTTGATTTATATACACCTTTGATTTGAAGATTCCAGCCTTACTCCTTGTGATCATATGATGCCCAACAATTTGTATTACATTCTGATCATCGCCATTAGCACCATCTTGCTGATCAACGACCTGATCAAACTCTATAGAAGTCACTTGGTTCATATCAGTACCGCTTTCATTTTCAATTATCACAGTCTGAGTTCATGTTCCACACTTCTGTTGGAGTCTTCAGCAAGTGTTGCATTAGGATGGATTGTGTCAACTGCATTTTGAGAGGTTATTTGCTGGCTTGACTCGATATCATAGGGACGAGGGCTGACAACAATTTCTGAGCATTTTTCTTGAGTATGGGTGTTTAGGAAACTAGACTTGAAGGGAAATTCTTTCTCATTAAACACCACATGTCTTGAGACATACATTCTACTAGTCGAGCTTAGGCACTTATATCCTTTATGTGAGTCACTATAGCCAAGGAATACACATTTTTGAGAATGAAAATTGAACTTCTGGTTTTGGTATGGTCTTAGACATGGATAACAAGCACAACCAAATATTTTTAGTTTCTTATGATCAAAGTTTCTTCTATATAGGATTTGAAAAGGGGATTTGTTTTGAAGTATAGGAGCATGTAGTCTATTTATTAAGTAGGTTGCTGTTTTAAAAGATTCCCACCAATAATGTAATGGCATTTGTGCTTGGGCTAATAGTGTCAAACCAGTTTCGGTGATATGTCTATGCTTCCTTTCTGCTCTACTGTTTTGTGCAGAGGTGTAAGGGCAGGAATATCTAAGTTCAATGCCTGATTTTGAAGCAATCTTGTCAAAGGTTCTAAATTCACCTCCCCAATCTGCTTGTAATATTTTAATCTTTCTTTCAAGAGTGTTTTCTACTAGTTTCTTGAATTGAGTGAAGATATTTAAGGCTTCTGATTTGTATTTCATTGGATAGATCCATGTAAACCTGCTATGGTCATCAACAAATAGGATATAGTACCTAGACCCCGAGGTAGAAATCTTTGGAGCTGGTCCCAGACATCGGTATGTATGAGATCTAATGGTTTTGATACATGCGTTGAAGACTTGGTAAAAGGCAAAGCATGAGATTTACCAAATTGACAAGCTTCACAGAAATCTGGACTTTCATTAACTTTGGCTATTTTATTACAAGACTTAAGGACTTGAGGGATGACCTAGCCTTCTATGCCAGGTATCTAACTCTGACTTGACACTTTTGGTTGACTTTTTACCCCTTGAGTTTACTGAGAAGACTGCAAGGTTAGGATTATTTTGATAGCTTGACTCTGTCCCGATTATCTTTGTCATCAGTGACATGGTTGCTTGCTCCAGAGTTTGCAAACCATGCTCGGTCCTCCACGGTGCTTGGTGTAGCCACATACGCAGAAGGTGAGTTGTTCTGTGCCTTCTGGTTACCTGATTTGCTGCCCATATACCTATCATCATATCTGTTGAAACACCATCTAGCTGAATGATTATTCATCCCCCAGATTTGACAGGGTCCTCGATTTTCATTCATTCTTCCTGCTCTACCTCTGCCTCTTGTTCTTCCCCTGAAATTAGAAAACCTTCCATTACTAAAGTTTCTACCACCACCAGATCCTGTCCTTTGCACTCCTAACTGATAAATGCTCATTGTCCCAAAACTAATCTTAACTTGATTGGGGTATTCAAGCCTGCTTTCAAAGGTTAAAAGAACAGAAGAGAGTTCATGCCATGATATATCTTCCCTGCTATTTAGTTGCACCACAATGGGTGTGTATTCTTCATCCAATCCGGATAGAACTTGTGTTATCAGATTGTGTGAGTCTATGGTTTTTCCAGCAATCTGTAAGTTATTTGCCAGTTGTTTGATTGTTGTAAGGTACTGATCCATGGACATGGATCATTTTCTTGTTCTTTGCAACTCTCCAGTGAGAAAAATGATTCTGGATCTATTCATTATCCCATAACTTTCCTTGATTGCACTCCATAATTTACTGGAGCTGGTGCACCCCATCACTCTCATTGCAATTTCAGGGGTCATGGATGAATACAACCATCCCATTAATAGTTGATCAGTTGAAACCCATTTGCTGTACTCAGGATTTGCAACCATCTCTGTATCTTCTCCTTTCTCAGTAACAATCTGAGTTTCTAAAAGCTGTGGTGGACATGGTTTCGTACCCAGCAGGAATCCTTCAAGATTATGTCCTCTAATTATGGGCATAACTATGTTTTGCCATAACAAATAATTTTCTCTGTCCAGCTTCACCGTCAGAGTTTGGATGATGTTCATCCCAAAAGGTGAAGTGTGGTTTATAGGAGACTGAACAATTGCTGTAGTGCTCGACTCGCTTGGAGGAGAGTGTTTACCTGAATCAGTGTTAGCCATAAGAAACTCTGATACCAAGTTAAAAAATATCACTAAACTCTGTATTTTTGGAAAAGTTTTCTCGGTACAATAGCTCCTCCTTTTCTCTTCTATTTATTCACAGAATTGTAATACATACATTTTACATACACATAGAATATTCCAGATTTTCCTATCAGCTGATAACATGTGTCTAACTACCTATATACACATCCCTTGAATTGGGGAAATACACTGCAATATACTGTTAAAGGTATTAACAGTATTAACAGCTTACATAGTGGAAATATTCAGCTTTTTCGATCAATCCTAACAAAATTAAATTAAAGTTATTCGACTGAAATTAAATTAAGATGTAATTACCTGATTAAATAAAATTAAAGAGTAGTTACCTTATTAAATAAAATTGAAGTATAAGTACCTATTTGACACTAAATAAAAATCTAGTTACCACAAGCATAAATATGTAAGTTTGAAAAAGTTACCATTATTTACATCCACAATTTTAATCCTTGTTTGAGCTACATTATTTCCATAAAAATGTATCTTTGAATAATATATTGATGAAAAATGTGTGGTTAAAAAATGAGAAAAAGTTCTGGATCTACATGTAATATTATTTTATTGAAGAATGTGTGGTTGAAATGATATCAAATCATTATTTAAGAATATATTTTTTGAAAAGAGTGTGTCAAATGGGGTTAGAAGAACAATCGAGATAATGATTGTTGTTGAGATTATATAAATGATCTTTAATATATACATCCACTTTTAAAGAGATAATTATATTATATTATATTTTTTATCTTATGTAAATTTTCCTAAATAGATATATATAAGATTAAAAAAAAATATATTATTCTAAATTCACCCACACGAATGTTTATTTTCGTAAATTCTTTTAAACTTTTTTTATATTCTTTAGAGTTTATGTTTCACAAAAATTCCAATGATCACATATAAATATCATCTTTAACAAAAATTAAAAAATAATAATAAAAAAAAAATTAACACATTATTAAAGTTATAATTCTTTTATGATATGAAAACTGGAATTAGGATTGGGCAAATTTCCCGAATCGAATCGAACCGAACCGAACCCGACGGGTCTTGTCAAATTAAATACCCGAACGAGTATCTAAATTGGGAACCGACGGGTACGGTTCAATTCTCGATTCTAGACCAAGAATCGAAAAATTGAATTAGCACTGAATCTTCATATTTTTTTTATATTGAATAAATCAGATTATTTTAATTTTAGTTTTTTCTAAACAAATTAACAATTTCTAAATCCAAATTTGTTGCACAATAATTTGTTTCATTTTTAATTTTTAAATTTTGACCTAATTAACCATTTTATTGTTTCATTTCTTAGCCCAACATGATCCAACCTACTAAATAACCCTAAACACCTACACTACACATAAGTGCATACCGTAGTCTCGGACTCACTCTCGCCGACATTCCAAAACCTATACAACCGTCGACTGAAGCTGTGACCTCCGATCGAAGCTATGATTGCCGACCGAAGCTGTGACCGCAGCGATCATTTGAACAAGGTAGTCTACTAGTTTCTGACATTCCAAAATCATTGCAGTTATTTAGAGCTTGGATTCAATGGTTAAATGTCCATGTGTTTTTAATGAGTTATTTAGAACTAGAAAATTTGTATTTGCTTTGTGTTGAATTCTGCTTAAGAGACCAGCAGTTGAAGAATTTGTATTTGCTTTTTGTTGAATTCTGCTTCAGAGACCCGAGAATGAAATTAGAGGATGGCCTATCCAGCATAGTGTAACCCGAGAAGGAAATTAGGCCGCAATTGTCTCAATTCCTTTCTGCCTCAAAATTAGTTTCTGGAAATGAAGTCAAGTGTATGAGTCTATGACTATTGTTGTCAAGTCTATAGCCAAACATGTTTTCATCCGTGTCTGCCTTGAAAGATCTACCTTAGACTATTACTATCCCTTGTCCGTTACATATGGGATTGAACTCAGCTTTCATGTTGAATCTCTAATATTGCATTTTCTCACAACTTCCTATGCCTTTCTTTTTCCATGTTATCAAGTCGTCTATAGTTGAATCAACTATACTCAATGACTGTCAGACTTGGGTGTTATCTCTTCACAAAGTAAAATTTTCTCTTACACTCAGTTCTTCCACTAGTTCTGATGCAGATTGGTTTTGTTAGGTTTGTATGCAACATTTAAATTGGAGAAATAGCTAGCTGATCATGTTAATAAGATTAGTTAGCAGTTAGTTTATGCTCTTTAAGGGTTTCCAGAATGTTTTGCTGGTTTATCTCTGTTCAATTGGTGCAACTATCATTCGTTAGTGTTTGATGATTTTGTTCCACATTGTTTGTGCAGGATTTAATCAAGTTTCTTGTTAAGGTGATATCAATTTTGGATGCTCAAATGGAGACAAAAAATAGTCTAATGAGAGGTCAGAAATATGGAATCATTTCACTAAAATACTTGGTGGAGAAAGAGCAAAATATAATTAATGTGGGAGAATATTTAAGGTTGACACTAATAGTGGAACTTCTAGCATGTGGAAGCATTTAAAAACTTGTTATACATATAAGAACACTAAAATTGATGAAAATCAAGCACTACTAACTCGAGAAAATAATGATGATGGTATTATGGCTACAATATTTAATAAAGAAATGTGTAGAAAAGCATTGGTTAATATGATTATTATTAATGAATTGACTTTTTCCTTTGTGGAGGTGTGGGTTTTAAGGAATCAACTCTGCCCTAGATTTGAGGTTCCTTCTTGAAGAACAATTACTAGAGATGTGCTACCATGAAACAAAGGAATCATTGAGTATTAAATTTATTAAGGATAGGCAAATGATTTCTTTAACCATTGATTGTTGGACATTAATTCAAAACATCAATTATATGGTACTCACAGCACACTTTATTGATAGAATTTGGAAACTGCATAGGAGGATATTGAGTTTTTCTGTGGTTCCAAATCATGGGAGACAATTGGGAAGATTATTGAAACGTATTTGCTTGATTGGGGAATAGAGTGTGTGGGTACCATTACTGTAGACAATGCAAACACAAATGATGCAACGATCGTTTATGTGAAAAAAAAGTTGAAGAATTGGAAACCTGATAATACTATAATTTTAGATGGCTCTTATCTGCATGTTACACATAATCAATTTGATTGTTAAAGAAGGGTTGAAAAAGTTAAATCCATCTATAAATAGTATTCGCAATGCGGTAAAATATTTTCGATCATCTCCTTTCCGGTTGACAAAATTTAAATGTTGTATTGAAAGAAAAAAGATTGATGCACAAAACTTGCTATTTTAGATGTTCTTACTAGATGGAATTTAATATTCTTAATGTTGGATAGTGCATTAAATTTATAAAAAGCTTTTAAAAGAATGAAGGAAGAGGACGGATTTTATTGTAAATATTTTGATGAGAATAAAGGTGGAAAAGAAAAAGAGGGGTCACCTACAAGTTATGACTGGGAGAAAGCTAGAAAATTTGTCAAGTTTCTAAGAACCTTTTATGATGTCACATTGAAGTTTAGTGCTTCATTTAGTGTTACTTCCAATATTTACTTCCATGAAATTTGTAAAATCGAGCAAATTTTGAAGAAAATGGGTAAGAAGCATTATCATTTGCTAAGTAGTATAGCAAATAGCATAAAGATTAAGTTTGATAAGTATTGGGGTAAAGTTGATAAAATGAATAAGATTTTGATTGTAGCAGTCGTGCTTGATCCTGGGTATAAGTTTGAGTTTGTTGTACATTGCATTGATATTTTGTATGACAGTGTTAAAGTTGAAGCCACAAAAAATAAGGTCATGAAATTATTGTATGCTTTGTATAACCAACAAAAGGGATGGCATCATTCAAACAATGGACCTAGTAGAAGCGAAAGTGGGAGCGATGAATCTAATGATGGAGTCACTTTGTTGGAGGATTCGAATGATGATGATGATTGGGATGACTGCAATTTTGATTTTGGGTACAAGAAATTGAAAACTACAAAAATAGATTTTTCTAGAAAAGATGAGGTACAATGATATCTAATGGAATCCACTGAAGATGCTAGTGATGAAAATTTTGACATTTTGAATTGGTGGAAGATCAATAAATCAAGATTTGAAATTTCATCTGAGGTTGCAAGGGATATTCTTGCCATTCCTGTATCTACAGTTGCTTCTTAGTCGGCATTTAGTATTGGAGTGCGCATTCTTGATCCATTTAGGAGTTCTTTAACTCTTAAAACAGTTGAGCCTTGATTTGTATGCAAAATTGGCTAAGGGAAGAATCTAGACTTTTGAAAGTTTCCCAAAGATAGAGTTTTGCATTAAAGAGACGAAGTTCTATGAAGGTATTGAGACTGGTAATAAAATATATGTTATATATATATTTTTTATTAAATCTAGTCGAAGAAATTTGAATTTATTTATGTTTGTTAATAACTTAATTGTGTTTTTTCAATTTTTTATTGCAGAGTTTCTTATTAGTGAGTATGACAAGTCAATTAATTGATGGATAGTTGAAGTTTTAGTATTAGTATCTACTCTTTAGTATTTGTAAATTGTTAGCATTGGTAAATTAATCTTGTTGGACAACTTGTTATTTACATGTTATTAAATTGGACTACATTGATTTGTAAAACTACGATTGAATGTCTCATTAGTTATATTTATATAGTGTTGTTATAAATGTTAAAAAATTTAATTAGCGTACGGAATGGAACGGAAACGGAATCGAACCCGAACGGTTCCATAATTATATTTGGACCCCATGGTTCCATTTACCAGATACCTGAAAATTTTGGAATCGAACTGACCCACGCCCATCTCTAACTGGAATCTTATTTTTTTAATACTTTTTTAAGTATTGATTTGACAGATGAAATATACGAGAAATTTCAAATAAGTCTTGAATTTATCAACCGAAATACAAACAGCCAAAATTATGAGCTTATAAGCAAAAAAATTAATTAATATATGATTCCATGCAAAATTTATTTGGTTGCGCAATATACTCTTGAGAGAATCCTATAAATTTAAAGAGATTTGCTGACCTTTAAACTAAATATTAAAGCACCGACATGACAATATCGAAAATAGAAAGTAAGAACTGGGTTAAATGTTTATAGTAATTGGATAAACATAGTGATTTTCGAAATTATATTTTGAATGTATTTATGTGCCCGTTCGGCCCTCACTCTCATTCTCATTTTTTCTTTCTCTTATTTTCAACACATAATCTTTCATAAAATAATATTACATGCAAATTAATTTTTTTTTATTTTTCAATTACAAATTTTTCAAAAAAAAAAAAACTATTCTAATTTTTAAAATTTGAAAAGAATGGGGGCCAAATGAGGGCTATAGTGGGATGAATATATAAAATTTGTATGAATTTGAATTTAATAAGGACAATATTGAAAATTGACTCAGATAAAAATAGTAGTTTTTTAAAAGGTAATTGGCACAAAACGTCCCTACCTTTCAAGCTTATTTTGGAAAACGTCATTACCTTTCATTTTTTTGACATTTTTACCCTTATTTCAATCTTTCGTTGCACTGAAGGTTCTTTTCACTGTTTTGGAACGTAAAATGACACACATTTCTTTGCGTTGAATGTCATTTTCACCATTTTTAATGTAAAATGACATTTATACCCTCTCATTTAAAAAAAAAAAAAAACCAAAAAAAAAAAAAAAGGAGAGAAAAATTCATAACAAATTGCAACCCTACCCCCTAAACTTTTAAAAAAGTGCAAATGAGTCCCCAATATTTAAAATATTGAAAATAACAAAAAAGCACTTTCTCTTCTCTTCCTTCCCCCTCCACTGCCACCTTCCAAGCCAAAAAATTTTGACCATCCACCGTCCAAACCACCGGATCTCCATACCAACGGAAGCCCTCACTCCCCTCTACACATACCATCCAGTGGGCTTTCATTAATTTCATTCTAATGGTACAAATTCTCCTTCACGTAGGTTAGGTTTCATTTCTCGATTTTTGAATGAATAACCACGTCCAAGCGACAATGGGTAAGACCCATATGCTCATTGGATGAGCCATGAGGTGTAGGTACCTCAGATTGTGGTTCCGATCATGGGTCCCACCACCGGCGTAAAAAAAATCGTCTGAAAACTACATAGGGATTGTGTTCGAAGCTCGGCCAGCTGGGTTTGATTGTGTGCATTAAAGGATGTTTGAGGACAATGGACAGAGACGTTTTAGTGTGTAGAATCGATATGGAGGTTGTGTAGGGCATGGGTTTCGTCGGAAGTGAAAATTTCAGCCACTGTTTGTTGCGTGAGTAACCTATTATTACTTGAATTTCTAGGCAAATTTATTGGGGTTATGGCTGGATCTTGGGTGGGTTGCAAAGAGAGAAGTGAGAGTTTTAAGGTGGTATGTTAGTCCGGTCAAAGTGGTGGTTGTATAGGGCATGGGTGTCATCAGAAGTAAAGATTTCAACCACTGTTTGTTGCATGGGTAACCTATTTTGGCTTGAATTTTTGACCAAATTGATTGGAGTTATGATCGGATCTTGGATGGATTATGAAGAGAGAAGTGTGGTCTTCAAGATGGTATGTTGGTCCCATGTCCAATGTGGCCGAAGGGTAGAGTTTTGGTGGTCCATAAGTGGTGGTTCTAAAATCTTAGTTGTGATGGGTTGAGGGAGTATTCGGGACTCATTTGTAATTTTTAAAAAGTTTAGGGTTAGGTTTGCAATTTGTTCTGAATTTTTCTCTTTTTTTGTTTTTTTTAAATAAGAGAATATAATTGTCATTTTATGTTCCAAAACAGTGAAAAGGACATTCAGCGCAAAAAATGTTGAAATAAGGGCAAAAATGTCAAAAAATAAAAAGTATGAACGTTTTTCACAATAAATTTGAAAGGTAAGGACATTTTGTGCAAATTACCGTTTTTAAAATTTTAATATTTTACTACATACGGATTTATATTGTGTAAGATGCATGTATAAAAACGTAAATAACTGTACCTTTTGGAAATTTAGCAATGGTGGGTAAGTACGGAATTGCAAATTACAAAAATAGCAATAAAATGTTTCCTGTAGCTGTTGGATTTTAATAGAAGGAAAGGAATCTACCGTCTAACTGTGTTTGGCGTCTCAATCGCACCAACAAATTCTCCATTTCCCAGACTACAAGGTAAGCAGCACCCAACCCACCCGGGGGACGCAATTGGTATGGGTATACATTGTATTACATCTACTGTTGCTTTCAGTTGTGGTTCGTAATAGCGAAGAAGATTGATTTGAGGATTATGTGGGAACTGCGTGCGAGTTTTTTTTTTTTTTTTTTTTTTTAGTTGCAATTTTTGTTTGTGATGACTGAAGATAATTTTTATCACACTCTGGGTCTCAGTTTAGAGGTTGTTTTGCCATATTATAGTTATTTCAAGCTAAGATAGGCAATTAGGGTTACTTATCGCCTTACAAAAAACTTTACTGATGATGCCTTAGTGATTTTATTCTGTATTTGAGCTGTTAATTAATGGTAGATAATTAAAATAAATAAATTTGGGGTTAATTATTGAATGTTTGGAGAATTTCTGTGTAATTTTCTGCACGCAGTACATGACAGAAAAATTATTGGCAACGCAGTCAGACCATATTTTGCTTATTAACTGTATGTGGGGTTTATCTTCTAATCCTGATAAATACAGCGTAAACTGTCTTCAAAGGAGTAAAATCTCTGTTTTTCCCGTTTCTTGAAGAAATGGACATCATGGTTCTCCCCTTTTTTTGATTGAATTGCCACCTTATTATAATTTTTCTTTTGTTTTTGGGAAATAGAGAATGCGATATCTGATGCTAGGATATTATCTGGCATTGTTCAAGGAAGTTTATAAATGTAGTCTGGGTGAAGATAACATTTCTCTTCTGCATGTCCATTTTGAAAAATTGAAATTTACCACACATAGATAGAGAGGTAGGAATTTCTTGAGTGAATCACATGCCTTCGTGTAGTACGTCAAGGAGTTGGGGAAGCCAGGTCTCTCCCAAGTTGAACTAGCATATAATAATTTGAAGTATTACAATAAGGGTTAATTCTTGGATTTTGGAAAAATGTATTTTTTTGGTTTTGGTTCTTGTTCTTGTTTTTTTTTTTTTAATTTCTTTGTATTAGAGGTTGATTTATCTTGTATTTGATTGATGTTTGTGTTTTGTTGATTGTCATGGAGAATGCATCTGTTTCTTTCTTTCTTTCTTGCTGCTCTTTGGTGGTTGTTTCTTCTTGGTGATCTAATACCCCCATTTCAGAATGTGGATAATTACCATTTTATTTTCTTATTTTTTTTTTTTGGGGTAATCACACAGACAAGCATTTGAGGCCCCATGGCTGCAAATATGGATTGGGAGATTGGTGAGTCAACAGATTCCTCTTCTTCAGCTGATATAATGTCAGATGCTGGAAACTTTGAGTGCAATATCTGTTTTGAATTGGCACAAGAGCCAATTGTTACACTCTGCGGTCACCTTTATTGTTGGCCTTGTCTTTACCAATGGCTTCAAATTCATTCACATTCCCACGAATGCCCAGTTTGTAAGGCTCTTGTACAGGAGGAGAAATTAGTTCCTATATATGGAAGGGGCAAGACAAGCCCGGATCCAAGATCCCGACCCATGCCTGTTACCATCCCCAGTCGCCCCATGGGGCAGAGACCGGAAACTGCTCCACGTGTGGATATAAACTATTTCCGCCACTATGAGTCAGATCCCATGGCAAGGTTTGGTCAATCAACATTATCTACATTTTTTGGTTCCCTACCAGCCTTTTTTAACTTTCATGCACATGGATTTAATGATGCTACTGTATATGGAACCACTTCTGGAGTTCCGTACTTGTTTTCTGGTTTGTTTCACGGGGGTTATGCTCATGGATTTCATTATCGTTCGTATCAAGTTGATGGGAAAATGCTTTTGTGGAAGATGTTTTGTGGGATTCTCATTTTCGCCATAGTTATGCATCTAATCCTTTGCTGAAATTGATTTCTTGATGGGAGTTATGTTTCTAGTAATGAAGTTGTATATTTCAGGTCAATAGACCTCTAAGGTGTTTCTCCATGCACCAAT